AGCATGAGAAGGAAGCAAACACTGGAGAGAGCCTGGATATTTCTCATGTTATGTGGTCTGAACTTCTCTCTGTCGTTTCTGAGTGCAAGTGCTCGATATATGGTCCATTCATCATGAGGCTCATTGAGAGGGCCTGGGCACAGATCTATCCCAGAGTGATGCTAGAAACTGGAGACTTGGTTTCCCATGAGATCAAGCGTCTGAGGAAGAAGGACAATTGGGGCACCCCAGCGCCTAAACCCGGGGGTCCGTCTGCTGTTGTTGTTGCTGCTGCCATGGAGACCGAGGGTGGGGCTGCCACTGATGATCACAAGGAGGACTTTGGGCCCTCTAGTGCAGAACCTTCGTGGGCGAAGAAGTTTAAACGCAAGATGAAGAAGCTTTTCTGCATGGAGTCTCATGGTCAGTACATGACTCATGTGGCGGAGAAGCATGCCAGGGTGCGCCACAAGGAGCTCATGCGTCACCTGGGAGCGACAGTTGCCAGTGGTTCTGAGGGACAGCTCACTGAAGAGGAGGAATGGATTCATCAGCATTGCCCTTGGACCGACTCCGACGCCGAGCAGTTTCCGACCAACGACGGAGATGCAGACGATCATGCTAAGATGTGATGTTCGAGATCCTCAGCTTGCCATCACCTGGAGTCGTAGCGTCGCTCTTTGCCCTTTTGGTGTCTCGATGCCAAAGGGGGAGAGAGTGTAGGGATTTGTGTTGTTGCCGTGCTTCGAGTGTGTCTTTGTGTCGTCTTGTGTTTTCTTGTGTGTTCTCTCGTTGTCTTTGTTTGGTGCCTGTGAGACCTAGGTTCTAGACATATGGTGTGAGACATATGCTCCCTATCGCTACCTTATTACTTATGTCTATTCAGTATTGTAGTATATTATGAGTTGCATGCTTGTCCTGTTTTATACTCTTCTCTCATATATCATGTGCTTGGAATTGTTGGACTATAAAATATAGGGGGAGTGTTGATCCGGATGTGTGTGTCTTGCTTTCCAAATGCTCCTCTAACTAGGTGCACACATTCAGGGGGGGGGCGTCTATATTTTGTAGTTCTTAGTTTTCTTACTTTTATATCTTTTCCTTGTGCAAATCCCTAGTTGTCATCAATCCACCAAAAAGGGGGAGATTGTTGAGGCATATCTCTCTCGAGGTAGTTTTGGTGATTGATGACAACATGTTTGTGGACTAATCATGTGCTTTGAGTAGTTCACAGATCCATCCTTGGCACGAGACGTTTTCTTCCCTTCGGAGTGTCATTCAAGACGGTGTAGCTCTTTCGTTTCTCTTTCGGTGGACTAGTTGCGTAGAGGGCACCGTACTATCAAGAGGGGGTCCGCTGGGGTATTGCTTGGGTGGAATCAACACGTAAACATCAGCTTCTCACCCTCAAAGCTCTTCCACTTCATTGGAGAGATCTCTTCTCTTTCTGTGTCCTGTCTGTGTTCCAGCGGTAGTACCGCGCAACCCAGCGATAGTACCGTTGAGGAGTCACAAGCGGCAGTACCGCTCCACAGCGGTAGTACCGCTGGTGACTCGACAGCAGTACTACCGCTGGCCTGCCTGGCACCACCGCCTCGTCCTCAGCCTCGACGGGGAGATCTTCTCTCTCTCTCTTGTCTGTGTCCCAGCGGTAGTACCGCACTACTAGCGGTAGTACCGCCGAAGGGTCATAGGCGGCAGTACCGCTCCGCAGCGGTAGTACCACCGGTGACCCCGCAACTGTACTACCGCTGGGCTGTCTGGCTCCTACCGCCTCGACTCGAGGGCTCTTTTTCTCGTGTCAGGTTTTGCGGCACTAGTTGCGGCAGTAGAGGCGGTAGTACCGTTCCGGAGTGGTAGTACCGTCCTTACCACCGCGGTAGTACCGCGCTGGGTCCAGATCCCTACTGCTCTTCTCTGCGCGGCAGTACCGCTAGCTAGAGCGGCAGTACCGCTGGCTCAGCGGTAGTACCGCCCCCCTTTAGCGGTACTACCGCCCTGTGCGGGGCTGGTTGGTGGGGCAACGGTTGGATTGTTGCCCCCACTATAAAAGGGGGTCCCCTTCTTCCCCTTTGACCTACCTCTTCCCCCTCAAGCTCCATTAATGCTCAAGCTCCATTAATGCTCCAAGCTCCATTTTCGCCCGATCTATCTCTCTAGCCAATCAAACTTGTTGATTTGCTCGGGAGTGGTTGAGAAGGCCCCGATCTACACTTCCACCAAGGGATTTTTGATTCCCCCACTCATCCCTAGCGGATCTTGTTACTCTTGGGTGTTTGAGCACCCTAGACGGTTGAGGTCACCACGGAGCCATAGTCCATTCTGGTGAAGCTTCGTGGTATTGTTGGGAGCCTCCGATTAAGTTGTGGAGATTGCCCCAACCTTGTTTGTAAAGGTCCGGTTGCCGCCTTCAAGGGCACCAATAGTGGAATCACGGCATCTCGCATTGTGTGAGGGCGTGAGGAGAATACGGTGGCCCTAGTGGCTTCTTGGGGAGCATTGTGCCTCCACACCGCTCTAACGGAGACGTACTTCCCCTCAAAAGGAAGGAACTTCGGTAACACATCCTCGTCTTCACCGGATCCACTCTTGGTTATCTATTACCTTTACTTGTGCAAGCTCTTTAGTGTTACTTCTCTTGCTTGTTTGTATGCTTGTTGTTATTGCATCATATAGGTTGCTCACCTAGTTGCACATCTAGACAACCTACTTTGATGCAAAGTTTAATTTGGTAAAGAAAGGTTAAAAATTGGTAGTTGCCTATTCACCCCCCCCCCCAGTCAACCATATCGATCCTTTCACCTCTGCAGGGAAAAAAACATCTATCGATAGCCTGTCCTACGGTAACGGACACTTGGAGTTGTATCCAGATCAATACAACTAGAACTGGATACTTGTGATGAGAAATGAATTGTGGATGAGAAATGGATAGTATGGCTCTGGGATTGCTTTCTCGCAGGGAGTCGAGAAAGGATCTCTGGCCGAGGTTGATAACACTACTTCTACTTTACTTTATGCTACTCTACTCCCTCCTGTTGCTGCAAGATGGTGGTTTCCAGAAGATGCTAGTCATCGATAGGATTAAGCCTTTCCTCTATTCTGGCATTCTGCAGTTTAGTCCATAGATACAACCCATTTCCTTTGATAGAGATGCATGCTTAGTTTACATCTGATGTAAGTCTTGTGAGTACTTTGGATGAGTACTCACGGCTGCTTTGCTATCTCTTTTCCCCCATACTCGATTGTTGCGACCAGATGACGGATCTCAGGAGCCAGATGACATCACTGATGACTACTGCTACCCCGAGGGTGCCTACTACTACGTGACGGCTGCTGACGACTTGGAGTAGTTAGGAGGCTCCCAGGCAGGAGGCCTTGCCTTTCGATCGTTGTTGATTTTGTGCTAGCCTTCTTAAGGCAAACTTGCTTAACTTATGTCTGTACTCAGATATTGTTGTTTCCGCTGACTCTTGTGTATTCGAGCTTATGTATTCCAGCCCTCGAGGCCCCTGGCTTGTAATATAAAGCTTGTATTATTTTAATTTGTGTCTAGAGTTGTGTTGTAATATCTTCACGTGAGTCCTTAATCTTAATCGTACATGATTAGTGTACGGTCAAATCGGGGCGTCACACCGGGCGGGAAGCCAGGAAGGGGAGGCGCGAGCCTCCTGGGCGGCTGGGCTCCGGGATCCGACCGGCTACCGGTGAGGTCGCGGGGAACGACGAGGCGCTAGGTGTCGAGGCCGGACAGGGGAACTGACGACGAGGCGGCTGTGCGAGGGGCATGAGGTTCTCCTCGAAGTGGACAGAACGTGGTTGCGTTCCTTTTCCTCATGGATTGCGTTAGTGGGCCGTTTTTTTTCTCTAGTCTAGTTAGAGACATAGGTATATAAGCATATCTAAAATCCCAGGTGGGCCGCGGCCCACCCTGGCCATCCTGTAGATCCGCCCCTGCTTATGATATAAATGAGACACGTATTATCATGCAAAAAAATAAACTACCTCTTCCTCTTCCTTCCCCGAGCGCGCCACATGCCTATTTTGTTTCAACGAACGCTGCCTCTGCGTTCGTTGGGTTTCCAAAGCGCTTGTTTCAATGATCCGATTGAGGAAGGACTACGGCGCCACTTTCGGCCCGATATACACGCACTGCCTCTTCCTTCCTCGTTCTCCCTAGAATCCATGCCTGCACTAGAGGCACTCCACCGGAATCCTCCGCGGTCGCCGCCCTCCCTACGACCCTACCTCCCTCCCTCTAAGCGGCAACTCCTCAAACCAATCCAGGCGATTCCTCGATGTAGATGTCGTCTCCGTTTCTTGCCGCTGTAAGGACTAAGGAGGTACTCCCTCCCTTCCTAAATATTTGTCTTTTTAAAAAATTTAAATGAACTATCACATATACATGTATATAGACATAATTTAGATTTTAGAATGTAGATACACTCATTTTGCTCCATATGTAGTCACTTGTTGAAATCTCTAAAAGGACAAATATTTAAGAAAGTGCTTTGGAAGCTGGATCATTGAAAAAAAAAACCGAGGCAGTCCCCAAATGATTCTTATGATATAAATGAGACACGTATTACCATGCAAAAAGAAAAAACTAGCCACATTCCGACAGACGCCAATTGGATGTGTACCCACTGAAAGTCAGTTTTCAATCAATGGGATCGCCAGAAGGGGTTTGCATTCCAACCTGCTTGTCCTATGCAAGTGCACCTGAAGTACTAAATTATGATCTATAGCGAACTGATATAACAAACAGCTACTGAAAGTGCAATTTCACAGCGTCCAATACATGCAGAGTTCAGGTTCAAGTTGGCACCATACTATGAATCCAGCACACAGTACACGAAGCAGACGTACAGAACGTAGCTAAGAGACCGAACATAACACCGAACATAACTTGTTTGCAAGCACTACATTATTATCTTCATCACAGGACATACCAAAAACAAGGAGGTCATGGAGAACAAATCCATGGAAAATTATTAGGCCGGTGCTTCATGTTGGAAAGACATTCAGCTTCTCTTGTTGGCGTAGTCATCTTCATCCTTGCTGAAGTCGTCGTCAAGAAAGTCATCCTGGCCCTCGCTTCTCTTGGTGTCCGCATCACCCTCCCCAGCACCATCCTCCTTGCCACCAACATCAAATTTGAGATCCTTCAGCAGGTCATCGAGCTTACCAGGGGGCAGATCAACAGGGGCATCGTTCGCGTAGCTGTCGTTGCCTGCGCCGAAGTTTCCACCTCCAAATGCAGGAGGTGCACCACCCCCTTGATTCAGGCTATCGCCGCCATAGTTGTTGGCAGGAGCAGCATTGTATCCACCACCACCAACCCCTGTGAAACCAGCATCACCCCCATAGCCACCTTGCCCGCCTTGAGGGGCACCATAGTTCCCCCCACTGTTGTACCCTGAATTATAATTGCCACCACTGTTGTATCCACCACCGCCGCCACCTCTGCCTCCACCTCCATATCCACCACCTCCGCTGTACCCTCCACCACCACCATAGGAACCACCCCCTCCACCGTAACCACCGTCAGCACCGCCATAGCCGCCGCCGCTGCCGTAGCCACCCCCACCACCAAAACTTGGACGACTACCACGGTCATGAGCATAGCTCACCCTCACTATCCGACCCTGCAGATCCTGGTACAGCAAAAGGAAAGATGTTAGAAAATGAACCAGCAGGCTAGGATTATAGAAGACTGATCAAGATAATAACAAAATAATCAGATGGATATCACAGAAGCAAACAGGCACAAAAAGAAACGAGCTGCATAACCAGTGTACAATTTAAAAAGACTGATTCAGCTGATAGCACAAATTAACCTCAACAGGATCGCATGCCAGCCTCCAGGAAGAAAAATACAACACATAGAAAAACACGCCAGAGTGTGCATGAGAAAAGAATAATAAATCAAACAGAACAGTAATACATCCATTGCGCAAGTAAGCTGAAAAGTTAACACACAACCTCTATGAGACCAAAAATTATACTGATGTTTGAAGTCCAATCTTAAACCAACTTCACGCTACAGCATATAGGACCAGATGATGACAGGAACAGAAATATTCTGTTATAAAAGATGCAGACTGACTAGCAACATGATAAGACCATAATGTTAGAGAAACATAGTCGTCTCTTGAGCAAGTCGATGGTTCACCAACATAATCTCTCCTGCCTACCGTCCTCAACACTATATGCTCCTATTCAATATGCCTTGACAACATTCAGCACATATGACCAAATACTGTCCATTGCTGCCTTAATAGCAAGGCAACACCATTCTGCATTCATCACGTAAAAGCATGCCACATTCAAGCTGCATTAGCTAAATAGAATTTTGCAAGGAATACAACCGCAAAACTTCTGCTAAATTTTCAATCCTAAGAACAAGTTGCCAAGAGCTGACTGTCCGGCTGATGACACAGGCAATGGCATGCCTCAGTTAGGAAAACTGTGGTTTGTTGCTCAAGGGGCATAAAATTTTCAGACCATGAATCAACAGCTAGTAAGCTACATAACAGTTGGAAATGACAGGGAAACATACAAGACACAGTTACAGTGGCCAGCAAATTGTGCTAGTCCTAGAGTGTATTTGTGGCTTTGCCTCACTGTAACTTAAAGGACCACTGCACAAGCTGAGATTCTACGAAGCATATTTCTGAATCATATTTTGATATCTAGTGCATCAACATATCAAAATATATTTGCTTATCTGCGAACGTAATTCCGGTGAATGCAAATAACAGGAAATATATACAGTAATTAGGTTCTGTAGTAATCAACCATGTTCAATTTCTCAAATAGCACAGTATGTTACTATATATACCATTTAAAAAGATAAAAGCAGTCAGCTTTATTTCTTGGGTACACAATAACTTAAGTTTTTACCATAGCCTATTCACATGTCAAGTGTGAACATTATCTCCAAAAGCACTGATAAGTACAAAAATGCTATCGCCCCTTTGATTCAGGAGTTTCATATGAATTTTGGTGGATTGTAATCATTCAAAACTTATCCTGTGTGCTTGATTTGTAAGATTATAGTCCATAGGAAATTTTCACAAGAATTCTTTTCATAGAAAAGATCCATTGACAAAAAAATCACTTGCAAAGAATCTTATGTTTATTTTACAGTCTAATCATGATGTCTGACCCTACTGGTATGAAATGGGAACATTGCAGTCCTATCTCACAGCAGTTAGATCCATAAAACAACAAACTCCTACAAATTTCATCCTTAATTAGAGACAAACCGGCTAGACGGTTGGACCAAAACTTTCAGCAACATAATAACCAGTTTTATGGGAATAGCAGTCTGTTATAGACAGCAAATGTAAAGGTAGTGTCATAATGTTATTCGGCAGCAAACATATTTTTCCAGTATTATAATGCAATAGTGTAGAAATATGATATTTTCAGATAAATATAACCTTTCCCATAGAACCAATCATGATCGCCAGACATTATGAAAAGAGACAGCAAATAAATATTCTCAATCTCCGGCGACATAGCTAAAATATCTTATGTACAGGTGGTCATCAAGCCACTCCGTCAAGGCAAGTCGCACGGCTAGAATTGATAGCTGGGTGACCAGAGTTGGAAATGGTCAGGGTTGGGCCACTGGCACATCAACTAGGTCATTGGATGTGATACTCCCAATAAACACCACCCCCAGCTATCACACGCGACCACCCCACACTGATTCCTCTCATCACTACCCTGCCGCTAACTCCCACATCATTTCCCTCTTCTCCTACTTGACCTCCCTCACTGGTGAACACAAGTTGTTCACCTCCTGCCAACTAGACAATGAATAATCAACAGCTTGGTAGTGGAATTGTGAACTTCCAATTTCCCATGAAATAGACTAAAAACGATAGCTTGCTTTTGACTTGACGCGTCACAATTAGTTATTTTGTTTATATTACACATAACAAGCTGTAAAAGTAATATGGTGTCAAGTATGCTTATGGTATTACTGAATTCTGATTTTCTATGACACCTTCATTATAACGTGAAACACAAAAAGAACTACTTATAGAAGCAAATGCATCTTCCACATACTGCAGTATATGAAACAATAAAACATCCAAGACCACAATGCATGGTCCTTAATTCGGACGATCCCTGGATTAGCTTGTGCTGAATCGCACAACCTTTAATAATTAGTATGGCAATGTAGGTCATATTCCAGAACAGCGCTACCTATGTATGTAGGTTAATAAATGGTATCCACGCAAAAAACAAGAAACTCATAATTTTGCTTTGTGTTCGACCGCAACAAAAAACAAGTCTTTGCGCTACCACTTAGGGTTCCAGCAATTAAACTGTTACAGCCACAGATCAGCAAGCATATGAAGGACAAGGATAAGGCATTTACTCTTGTCTAACCAGTGACAGGACTCAATTACCCAACAAGGTAGAAATGCTCTGATGCTTAGTTTAGCCTTGGGATATTTCAATGACTTGAACTGGTGACTACTAAAATAGTCTCTTAACTCATAGGAATCTAATCTGATCACCTAATTTTTATTGTTGTCAAGATAATCTACTAAATCACAAGACTTTAGCCTCCAAAAAAATACACCGCACACAACATACAAGCTACAGTTAGATGATTCATGATTCGGTACTAAACAATGCTTAGAACCGGAACAAGAAAAGAAAAAGCAAAGTATGAGGTTCACCTTCCCATCCATTCCGGTGATGGCAGCTCCAGCCTCCTCTGCCGAAGTGTAGGTCACGAAACCAAACCCCCTTGACCTCCCAGATTCACGGTCCATGATCACCTTGGCTGAACAAATATGACAGAATTAGTACGCAGGATCACATCTTCTACATCAATGAGAAACGGTGGAAACAGGACAGGAACATACATTCCACGACTTGGCCGTAGTTGGAAAACGCATCCGCGAGGCTCTGGTCATCGGTGCCGTACGAGATGCCTGCAAGGACATAACGAATCAGGGCGGCACAATCTAATGGAAGGGCTTCCCCCCAACCAGAAAATCTTAATCTCGAGGCGCGAGGGAAAGAGATGGGCGGTTGGGAAGGGAGAGCTCCGGCGAACCTCCGACGAAGACCTTGGCGGAGGACATGGACCGGACCGCCTGGAGCATCGCCGAGCCGGAGCCCGCGGATCGCTTGAGGACATTCCCGACCTTCTGCAGGAACGCCATCCTTCCGAGACCCCTGCGAAATAGCCGCGGATTTCAGATTGGATCGGATTGGATTGCCGGGCGCGCGCCGACGGATCGTGCAGGTCAGCGGGGTTTAACCAGTCCCTGGATCTGGGGGGAGGCGAGCTCGTACCTCGAAATCTAATGGAGGAAGGTTGCGGGCGCGGTGGAGAGGGCGGGGACGGGACGTCGCGGCGAGGAGGAAGAGAGGGGAGCCGCGGTGGCGGCGATGGGTGGCGGAGGGGTTAGGGTTTGGGAGCGGGAGGGGGAGCGGGGCGGCGGGAGCCTGTAGGGCTTCAGGCGTACGGGGCCGGTGAATGGGGAGCGGCTCCGTTTTAGATTGGATTTTCCCCCTTTTTTGCGGGCGATATTCTCCGTTCAAGAAGTAAATGATAATTGTAGTTTTCCTCTCTCCTTTTTTTTTTGCATGGATTGTGGATTTTCACCAAAGTCTTGGGAACTGTTTAAGAATAGTTCAAAGTAGTGTATGCATATGTAGAAATATTTTTTGTCCAAATTCATACTCTCTCCGTCCCGAGTTACTTGTACTAACAAAAATGGATGAAAATTGATGTATGTTAAACTAAAAATACGTCAGGAGGCATCCATTTTTAAGACAAGTAGTTGCGGACAAAGGGAGTAGTTCTCTTGCACATTTTACGTTAATTTGGATATGTGGAAGATCAAGATCAATTGACCAGGAAGAGTTGAATCGGAGATAGTTAAGATTGCTCTATCCCACGAGCCATGTATATATCCTATGAAACACTTCATGTCTTGTGTTTATATCGTATCCATACTCATATGGATATATTTGTCAATGACACATATCGATGACATGGTGACGGGAAGTAGGGTACAAAGAATGAATATTGAGAGACGAGCATCTTGTCGTAATTTCAGACATAAGTCTTCAACATATTCTCCAAACAAATAAATGTGTCTAGATATGAACCATGTAGGTTTGTATGGCATGTGTTTTGTCTGTCAGTATCGTTTACTCCTACAGTTAGCGGTGTGCTTGTTTTATCATGGATTAAGTCTTTTGTGCAACGTTAACAGCATATTAATCCATTAGAATTGACTTCAAAATGTCCATTATGTTTTTCCAACAAAAATGCCATTATGTAATGACATCGGCTACTTGAACATAGAGTACATATATAGAAAAATTAATTAGTTTAATTTTCATTGAATCGTCATATCCTATGACAGAATCCGCCTATATTGCATAAGGCCTACACAAATGCTTAGAGCAAGTGCCTACCACATTAGTAGGTCTATGAACAAAATTAACAACACATATATAGTTGTTTAGGTTATCGTTGTAATATTCACCTTATCTACTGCCTCTATAAAAGCACGAAAGAGCATATCTAACTCATAATCTGAACCATCTATACAAAACAAAATCTAAAGGTCCAAAACCTATCAATGCTGAGCACCAACCATGTTGAGCGCACTACTGAGCCATTAATGCCACCCATCAACCCCTAATCTCGTAACCCTTCGTTATCGTCATAACTCCCTCACCGACTGCCCCACACATGTTGCCTCCCAATCCCCCGCCGCACTCTTCCTTCAAGCCATCGGATGACCGGCGCACGCCGCTTCCCTACTCCATTGCCTCTCGCATCTAGCCATCATCCTGTCCTACGAGAGGGCCACCGTCCTCTGCTCTGACATTGCTCTTCTACTCGGAGCCCCCAACCCGAACCACGCGTCAATGCCCAACCTAGCACCGCCGCTAAGGTCTTGCATGGAACCACACATGTGGCCACCCAGCCCCGTTGAGGTACAGGCGAGAACCGTCTCCACAACGACTGAGAAGATGGGACACTAAAATGATCGGTATGGTCGACTAGAAAGGGATAGAATAGGCGAGTAACAATTTTTAACTTCGTTTGCAATTTTTAGGCTCGATAATAAAATATGTTATCTAGATATGCAATTAGGTGGAGCAACCTATATGACAAGCACAACAAACAGGAATTGCAAGCTAAAAGTGAACACAAGATAATAAGCCTGCACAAAGTAAAGGATAGAAGTAATCACAAGTGGAGTAGATGATGTGTTTCTGAAGTTCCCTCCTTCGGGGGGTACGTATTCGTTTGAGGGGTGTGGAGGCACGATGCTCCCCAATAGCCACAATGGTTCACCCTATTCTCCTCACTCCCTTGCACCATGCATGGTGTCATGAATCCACTAGCGGTACCCTTCAAGGCGACAACCGAAACCTTTACAAGCAAGGTTCGGGCAGTCGCCACAACTTAATTGTAGGCTCCCAACACCACCATGAAGCTAGGGTGCCCAAACACCCAAGAGCGACAAGATCCACGGGAGAATGATGGGGGAATCAAATTTCTTTGATGGAAATGTAGATCTAGCTCTCCTCCCTCGATCACTAGCAAATCAACAAGTTTGGTGGCTAAAGAATGAGATCGACAAGATAGAGCTTAGGGCATCAATGGAGGAGAGAGGGGGACAAGAGGTAGGTGGGAGGAGGAAGAACCTCCTCCTTAAATAGCTCCACCAAAATGCAACTGTCATGTACAGAAAATGCACAAGGTGATACAACTGCTTCGGAGAGGTACAACCGTCCAAGTCCCGTAAAACAATCTGTAGGGTCCAAGTAGTACAAACGCATCATGTAAAAGGCGTTTCCAAGGCCTAAGCGGTACAACCACTGGGGCCAATGGTGGTACCGGTTATTCTTTAAACTAGAAAATTCCCCGCGCGTTGCAGCGGGAATTTTGAGTAAATAATTTGCAAAGAAAAAAATCTCAACGATATTGTATACATGTTATATAATGTACTAAAGTGGAAGCGTCATATGCATTATTAGTGCATCACTTGATGATTCAGAAACATGATAATAAATTTTCAGGTCCTAAAAAACCATGAGTTGTTAAAATTCATAACACATTTACATACACCACGCTTACATACTTCTTCCAATACATAACAATAAAATGAGCATGTTGCATTCGTTGATATTCTGCACATGCATATGTTCATTTTGGCAATAACTAAATGTTATTGTTAGAGTATATTTGGTAGTTGTAGATATTCATATCGTAGACTGCCATATGTATCCGGGGTTGCCTTGCACCCCAAGTCATGTACTCTTATATATACCGGCCGAGGCCTCAATGCAATACAATCAATCCATCAGTTATACCAATTCTATCTTTCTATATGGTATCACGAGGTTAGGTTCGGATCCTTGGCCACAAAACCTAATTCTTCCGCTGCTTCTCACGCACCCCTGTTCTTCTCGCGCCACCAGCCGTCCACCACGGTGCGCAATCGGCGCGCCCTCACGACGGCTTAGTAGCGCGCCCCCGGGGAGGTTCCCTATGATCTCCGCTGGGGGCAGCGCCCTCCTCTGCGGCGGATCGAGTTAATCCGCCGTCGTCTCGCGTCCAGCAGTAGCAGATCGACGTGTACCTCATCATCCGTCATGGAGGCCGTCGACGACGACCCCGATTCGCGCCGCCGTGGTGGCAGCCGCGATCTCCTTGCGGCGCACGCGTCCTTCCCCGCGCTGCCGTGGTGGCAGCTAGGGCTTCCGCGGGTGCCCTCCACTCGTCGTCGACCGGTCCCGTGGCGGCGCCGTCCCTCCACCCGGCCATCTTCCTCTGTCTCCCACCACGGGCTCCTGATGGTAGGTGGCGGGCAGAGAAAAGAGGCTGAGGGGTCTGTTCTACGTGCAACCTGGAGGTTTACACGAAGATTTGTTGATGTTGATTTCTTTTTGGTAGTTTCTCTGATTTTTTTTACTCGATCACTGATCGAGATTGAGTCGCCCACCGCCCGTCGAGCGCACGCCTCTACTTCGACATCACCACCGGCTGTTCTTCTCCAACACCCGTGTCGTCCGGGCTGGTGTGTGGTGCGCGTCGGGGCACCACCCGCAGCGCCGCCAGGCTCCTCTGCAACACGGTCCCCAAGCCGGTCGTGCCCGACTTCTCCGCCATGACTCCAATCTGCGCAGCATCATCGTCCGTCATCTCACACGTGCGTCGTCGGTCTGATCAACTGACCGGCGTACGGTCGCGACACGTACGGATTTGGGACGAGTGTCTTCAGTACGCGTGCATCTCCACCGACACGAGGGTTGCGGCTGCATCGTTTGCAGCGCCGTTCTCCCTGGTCCTCTCCGCCGTTGCATCTTCATCGCCGTCGACTACGTCCTCGACATCGTCTACGACTACGTCAGTGCGCGCCTTGTGCGCGTGGTCTTCATCAAGTTGTTCGAGTTCTTCGCCGTCTCCTTCGAGCTCCGCCGCCGCATCATCTGGATCATCAGGCCTTGCACCAGATCGTCCGGGTTCACCTCTTCGCTTCGTCCAGCACCACCTCGTCGTCAGCGTCGCCGTCTCGTTCTTCCCCTTCGTCTACTCCGACAACTGCGGGCTGCATCGGCATCTTCTACCCCGCCATTGTGCGCCTGCGACCGTCGTGGAGGCCTTCTCTGCTGGTCCCTCAGACGACAACGCCTGGTGTGTACCCTCCCTCGCACGTCCGGTATTGGCAACACCGGTGCGCGCCATCATCCCTGAGGTGTTTTTGGGCCAGGCAAACCCGAGAATGTCTCGCATATCGGCTCCTGACTGCATCGTCTTCGGCACCGACCCCCTTTTCGACTGCCTCGACGTGTCGCCGTCTTTGTCCTGGTGGCTTCCCCTTTGCGCCACCATCCTCACGGCGCCTCCTCGAGCACCCGCGGCTTCCTGAGCGGCTACTTACCCTCGGCAACCTTGACAGCTCCACGTCGACCACGGCTACCCTACGCACGGCATCCTTGACCACGGCTATTCACCCTACAGCTCGGCTTCCTCGACATCGGCACAAAGGGCTACCATCCGCATGAGTTACTCGCCGTTGTTTCGCTCCAGTCGCAGCGTCTGCACCGCACCGCCGTTCCAACTGCGGGGGGATGTTAGTCTGTGGGCTCCCGCCTTCGGCTTCTTCTCCAGTCTCATCGTCTGCGGTGC